GCTTTCGAGAAATCGGACTGGATTTCCAACTGGATCGCGAAACTTGCTACGCGGCTATTTACGGAAGCTATATAAACGGATGCGTTCGGTCGAAAATGTTTAGTTACTCTCGTTATTGAATCCTGATACGCCATTTCGCCACTCTCGCCCATGAGCGAGAATGCGGGGTGAAGTTCCGCGGACATGAGGCAAGGTCGAGTTTTCTCGATTGGAGAATTAAGGATTATATCGCGATAAACGCGTTTCAGGGCCGAGCGTCCCTTTCCGTCGCTTTCGGGCACCGACGCGACGGGCCCGTCGCAGAAGAGTTGGACAACTTTCGCGATACGCGTTTTAACGGGGCGAAAGTAACGAATAATTGAGTTAAGCGAGGAAGGAAAGCAATTTCCTCCGAGTTTGCAAACCTTTTGTGAATACTCGGGGCGCTCCCTCCTCGCCGAGCACCCACGCACCCTCAACTGCGTACTTGGACGCGCCGGCCGGGCCGCCCCCGCGAGAGCCCCTCCCTTCCGCGCGTTCTGTGTCTCCATTATCGGCGCGGGCTTGAGAATTTCGCTGAAAAATTTCGAGCACGCCGAGCATTACCGGCTTAAAGAGTATATAGTGACGCGTCGTTATCGCGAATGCCTCGTTTGAAGGAAGATTTAATCGAGCGAGCAATGCAAATTGGAACCGCGCGACGTCGTTTCAAAGTCGATAAAATCGACGTGCAGTCTTATTTTATTAGAGAAGCGCCATGGGCGCGCGTATTTTCCCCTCGCAGCCCATTAATCCGGAATCTGAAGCTCTTAATCGCTAACGCGCACGGGCCGCCGAAATTGTCGAGAAAGCGTCATGTCAGATTTATTATCGTTCCACTTAGGAGAACCGAGCGCCAAATTGGTCAAGAGATGTATACATATGTATATACAGTCGCGAATCTCTCGTCTAATAATAATTTCCGACCGATTGCTCAATTGGCTTGTAACTTAATTTAAGAACACTAATTTGATGATTGGAAATGTCACTCGATCTTCCAGAGAGATGCTGTGACATAATAATAAAATATTTAAGAAGTTTAAACGGCAAAATATGGCAATTGTGACTAATGTGTCGTTCGGAAATATAGAAAATATTAAGATGTACGAGACAGATTCGAGGAAGAAACGTCTGTATTTATATTCTTTTGTTGAATTTCACCCGTTTATCTCACTCTCTCTCTCTCTCTCTCTAATCGTCTCATGAGACTGAACTCTGAAGGGAACCTTTTCCAGCTACGTAAGATTCTGCACCCGTACAGAATGTAGCGGAATTAAGGACGTACAATGCAAATACGTTCACGTCGCTAGCGGAAGAGTAGCGACTTATGAAAATTAATTAAATTACAGGGCTGTTCACAAATTCATTGTGCTGTAATGACGGAAAGCGCGAGATAGTAGATGGTTACTGATTAAATCCGCTTTTGATTCAATCGCGAGGCGTGTACGATGAAAGCGATAAAGGGAACATGAATGATAAAGGGCGAGCGAACTTATAATTACAGACTGGCCATGCAACAATCTTTCATGCTCACCGCCAATTTAAACTTTTCAATCGGACTGCCTCGTTACGCGTCGCGACAATTTCGACATCTTTAATGAACATTTCGTGGAATAATTAATGCGCGACGAGAACAAGACGCGAGTTGCCTGTCGCGTTAACATATTTAATAACTTGTTACGGCCGAACAATGTTCGTTTTTCAAATAGCGTAAATATCCCCGTTAAAAGAAAACACGATTTTCAAAATCGCAAATTATGTATGAAATCGGTCGCTATTTAAATTCCCAGAGGGACTGTACTAATTTCTATTTATATTTTTTTTATTTTCGTAACAAGTAATATTTTGCTGGGATATATCCTCACACAGTCGTGAGATTTTATTTTCATTTGGTATTGGATCAATCAACACAGTTTAATTCGAGTTTTGAGTCAGACTTTGCATTTTTTGTTGCACCTATCGAGAACAAATTATTCGTCAACACAATCGCCACTGTTGGCGAAGTTTCGTAAACAACGATGGTTTAATTAACAAATGATTTATTTTCGTTGAATACGCTTGAGCTTAAATTCGACACACAACCCGCGCGAGCCGAACTTTCCAATTAACAAAATACGGAACAAGAGAGGGAAAAGGCGAGTTTACAATTATAAAGACATATTTATTTCAACACTATGACCAGTGAGAGTATATGATGAAACCATCGCGAGTGCGTTATAAAACCAGGTGTTATCACGTGAAATTTCGAGCGAATAATTAAAAGCTTCTTTTGTTTAATATTTACGTTATAATAATGCTCTTCCACGGCAGTTATTTCTTTCGGTCTTTTCTCATTAAAAACGCGCATATTAATAAATAGAACGAAGCCTCACCACGGCAGCCTTTAACGTCATTCCCGTGCGAATAACGCGCGCAATATAAGCCCCTGGTAATCGTAACTGTTACGCGCTGGCTTTTGCGCGCGGAACAAATGATTAATCCGCCGCTGTGCAGCTCATCGTCGTGAGAAAGCAAAGAAATTCTCTGCCCGACTTTTACGTTGTAATGAATAATGAATAACTAATTTCGCCGCCTACATCACGTCCTTTGACGATGTAATATCTGATCTTTCCGGTTATTTAATACGACATTAGCGGATATTAAAGGTCCACAATATCCAGAGGCGGAATTATGTCGGAGTAACCGCATCATTTGAATTTTATAATACCTCGTCGCGGACCGCGCGATGCAAGCGCACTCGCTTCCGCGAGTCTTCGGGGAAGAACCGTGTCGGACGTAAGCACACCCGGATATTTCCTTGCCTCGTAACGGAATTAACAGTTATGCCCTCTCGAGTCTGTGCATAATAGTATCGCGACGCCGTAAAACGATAACGCTCGGTGCTACAGGTCGCTAATACGCCAACAGGAAATTACGAGCTTCCGAAGACAATTAACGCTATGATTTTGTTCTCAGCATTGTTTCCCACCCAATCGAATCGTCGTGCAAAACAGATACGTTGTAAATTGTTATTGCAACTTTGAGATAGCAAATAGGGCGAAAAAAGAAAACTTATTGCATGGATCATATCCATAGTAGTACTAATCAAAACTACCGAGTGGTCAAAAATGACAGGTTTATTTCTTATTAAGAAAATATTCAATTTTATACAACAATACATTTTATGATTTCAATAAACGTTGAATAAAATAATTAGAAGAAAAATAAATAAAAGTATTAGAAATAGAAAAGACTCTGCCGGCAATACAAAGACGAATAGAAAAGAGTTCCTTAAGAGCTCAGTCTCAAGAGTCAAGTTTAATATTACATTAAGTATAATAATAACAATTCAAGCGATCGAAGATTGATGTTTGAGATCTTCTAATGTCGAAAAATTTAATTTGGTCAATAATATAGTCCCAAATAAATAGTATAGGAATGATATATAACAACGATAATATAACAGAATATGGTTAAAAAATAAACGTTTTTGCCTTTGCATACCGTATTTTTTCAAAAACCTGTCATTTCGACCGCTCCGCGGTAGAAATAGGTCACTTTAATCGTCCATTATATAGTAGTTTCAGTGTTAAAGGAGAGACTCGCGTGTTCATTTTAATATAACTGGACACTTAGAAGGCCGTGCTATCGCACGCCATTAAGTGCTATTTCTCGTCGGAAATCAATGCAATTTACGTCTAAGTATGCACTACGTGACGTGATGCTTTATGAGCGTTCAAATTGTACACTCACCAGTTCGTGTTGATATTCAGTGATACTTAGGTCCACCGATCAAGTCCACCTCTGTGTCGTCTTATACTCGTCCAGTATCCTTAGTATCTCCAGCCTTCGTAGCGTCCAATTGTTGTTCCACTTTAGTAAATCGCACTGCACTCTACTTCACTCATTCGCGACCGTAATCATTTTATCGACGCTTAAAAATTTCAAACAGGAAACGCGAGATAAGTCTCGATACTCCGTCGCGGTACGCATACAAGCCGCGATCATCTTAACGACGTTTAACGATTTAAGTATGCGGTAAGTTTCTGTACTCTGAATATACGCTCAGTCGCGATAATTTCATCGACGATTAATAACTTAAGACAAGGTACGTGATGAGTTTCTGTACTTCGAGAATATACGATCGCGAGTCGCAAATCGCGCATAAGAAATCGCGAAGCGGAGATCACGACGCTTTCTCGGGCAACTTGAAGGAGAAAAGAAAAACACTTTCGCGGATTTCGCGGATTAACATCTTGTCGAAAAAACGGATTTTTCGCAAGAATTTCAACCTTTAAACGATGCAACAAAGATACACGCCTATATATTAGTAATTCCGTTAAAAATGACCTATTATATTATCATACGAGCAAAAAATTTAGAAAAATGGAAAGCAAATCGCGAACGAAGTAATCGCGAATTTCGCACACTTCTGCGCAATTCAGTTTAAATTATTTGAAGCTACTACTTGAAACGATTAAGGAGTTATAGTGAAAAGTTTTGTTGAATAATTCTATATCTTGATCGAATATAACCAAAGATAAAACGTTTTTACAGAATGTTATTGAAAGTTGTTGGTTCAAAACTTTTTGAGTTTGTATAATATACATTAAATTTTCAATTAAAAAAATATAGTCAATATAAGATTGCATTAACTAAGCGTTTTATAATTAGCTTAGCGAGTTTTATAAATCTGCAACGTTGAATTATTTTTTAATAGTATATAAATAAGTTACTAAGATCTTTGCAAAATTGAAAGAGATATAGAGAATGATATATTTCAGAAAGATATATGTAATTATTTAAATATCTGCGAGAGATAATCTAGAGAAGCAATTCCTTAATTATTTCGAGTTGTATACTTTTGCTGGATAACACAAACGGGCATATTTAAAACCCGACATATAAAAGTCTTCCAGCTAAATAAATTGCATTGATTTTCGCATTGAGATTCCATAAATACCCACCACCTTTCGTTTCTCGTATACATTTGGCTGACTCACCGAAATACCAGGAACTCACAGCCGGCCGCGTTCCGCTACAAATCTGGAACAAAAAATATAGTTTTGCCGATTAGACACGAGTTAACGACCCAACGGGAAAAATGCGATGTGAGCTTGTTAACTCTTTGCGATCGCTACCAGCTCGGCCAGCTTTTTCCCGACAATTATGTCGCAGTTATCGATCGTAAAGAATCAAATAGAAAAGTATCGAGAAGTCTATAAACCTACCTTCGAGCCGACTGTGCTCGGCCCGAACCGGCTCCTCCGGTACGGCATTCGCGTCCGCCGAAACTGCACCCTCCCCCGGGAACCGCACCCATTGTGTGTGGTCGCAAGCTCTGGAACAAAAGCAAGTTTCTTGATTAGTCATACGAAAAGGTGTGAACATACTAAGAATACGAAGGTTGGAAACTGCGCATTTTTCTTTTTAAATAATAAAGGAAGAGAATAGCAGTTACCCTTAGGATCCTAAGATATTTCGTTGCTCCATATGATTCTAGCATATGTACGCACAAACTCGTACGCACGAAAAAGTGTACATCTCACTCGCTCTTTGATCGAGCAGATCGAGTGGAAAAGTCAAATACAGAATTACCGGAAAGTCTGTAAACCTACCTTCGAATCGATTCTGCTCGGCCTGAACTGGCTCCTCCAGTACGACATTCGCGTCTATCGAAACTATATCCTAGCGGACGGCACCCATCGTGTATGGCCGTAAGCTTTAACACATCTGAAACAAAGAAAATAAGTGTCCTGATTAGTTATATTGAGGACAAGAAGACATCGGATTGTGTATTTCTCTCTTAAGATAATATTGAGTCAGTGGAAAAGTCTGTTGGATTTTCTGCTTTCTTGGCCAGCAAATTGACCATCTCTCCTATGGTATAATATGATATACAAATATTGCCTAAACGTTAAAGAATGATCGTAAACTACGACAGTAATTATTCGCTCGATGAATCATTTGTTTCCATTGAATGATAATCCGATACATACAAAATTAGACGCAGAAATCAAAGTAAACTTTTGGACTGACCCATTCTTACATAAAAAGTTTAATAAACTGACCTAATAAACACAATAAACCAAACTCAACAAGAGTGCAAAACGACAGTCACTTTTACGATCGCCGAATACAGTTGCCGTTCGAGAAGATGCTACCGCGTAGAAAATAACGCAACGTATTTCAAGCACGTTGATTCCGATTGACTCGAAAAAATAAATAGCACGCGACGTCTCCCGACACACTAAGCTTCGCGTTCAGTCGAGGAATGTTATGATCGCTCGGCAATCGCGCTCTTATATGTACTTTCTTGTCCCCGAAGTCGCACGACCTTCAGCGGATGAGACGCGCTGGAGAGCAGCGTTGTTTTATTTATTCGTATAAACGGTTCCGTATGTTGTATACATATCCTCTGTATTGATATATTATTTCGCGTTATGTTTATCCTTTTTACTCGGAATTCGAGTCGGTTATACTGGACACAACATTTTATACCAACAGCTTGAATATCAAAGTCCATTCGACGTAATTGTTTCTCTAAAATATAAATATTATCATATAGAGAAATGTGTCCGCGCATTATGATAAAAGCCATTGTTTACTTCAGTTTCCGGAATCAAAGTCGTTTTTATTTTATTACCGAGCTATTGGAATAAGAATGTTGAATTTATTACAGAGTACAAAGAATTAATTAATTGAGATTCAAATCAGCAATATGTAACTTCTACGCGATAATAATGAGACGCTAAGATAATAATATGCAAAAAAGTACCTACATGATATATTTTTTCTGTACTTTCCAATATTAATTTTAAATTCATGTTAAAAAAACATTCCTGAAACTAAATTTTACATCTACATTAAATCCTATACATAATATTCATATTTAAGGTATCAAAGGAAATTCTCGAGATACATATACCTAATATTATATATATGCTATTATCTTTCTTAATTTTAGAATTCTATTATGGTGTTAGAGAAGCGATTATTTATTTCCACTTTATCCATATTGAAGTTTGAAGAAGTTCTTTTTCAAGAATTATTTAATATTCGCTTGAGTTTAACTTTTATTTCTAATTTCAATAAGCAATATATTATGTAACTTATTCACCTAAAGTTAAGATATATATAATAAACAAATGTTAAATAATTAATAACAAAGTTTGTGTCCAAAAAAAAGATAAAAATGGATGGAAAAGAGGAAGTTGCAAAGCCAAAGATAACAGTTATGTAAATGCAAATTTAAATCTGGATTTAGTACAGTAACGAAGTTAAATAAAAGTGAAGAAAAGACGTTGGTATATTTAAGTTGAAATTTACCGCGGCACTCGTAGCTATAGATCATTTATGATCTTTAAATTAAAAGCTTAATTAGTTGCAGATTCGTATTTATAAACTGTTTTTTGGCTATTTGGATCGCTCTTGTTGCGTAAAATGTAAGTAAAAGTTGACAATTAATCGAAGATTTATAAAATTATTTATTAAACAACGACTTTCCTTTTTATTATGAATGTCGGATTTATTTGTAGATTCTAATTTTCGTCATCTCATTAAAAAATTTCCCATTAGACTCAGAATACTCACACACAAATGCATCTTTATCTTTTAAACGTTCCATTTTGCGAACGCGACGTTGCATAATCAATAAATTCACAATCGAAAAACGAATTAACCACAGAATTTGGTATTCAATGCATGTTACCTCCCCGAAGCAGTAGCGCAATTTAAATTTCTATAAAAAAAATCATTAAATTAATAGTGGTCTCGACACATGACAATTAATATGCATGATAAAAGATACAAAATAATTTCACTACGTCGCGATAGACACTTTCCGACGTAGATTTAATTCAATAGCATTAGTTGGCATTAAAATTTTACGATATTGTAATAGCAGCTTACGCTTCGCAAACTATATTACGGTAATAACGGGATCATTTATCCGATGCTGCTAAGGATATATATGCACGACAGTCGAAAGGAGAATCCTTAATTTCCGTCTATACGCCTGTACAACGATGAAATAACGATGAAAAAATGACGAACCGAAGCGGCTCGCTCGACCGTACAATTTCATTCCGACGAAAGCGGAAAGTAGAAAATCGTTTAACGTCCGACGGTGAAATTAATTCAAGATCAATTGCAGCCGCGGCTTTCTCTCACGGCGAGACTGCACATTTCTATACTTCAATTGCCAGATGATAAAAAAGAATACAATGTCACTTCGGAAGATATTGTTAATAACAAGAAGAGGGAAGAGAGAAGCGAGAAGAAAAAGGCGGTAGAGAGGGTAGAAGCAACTCATACCGAAAAGTATCGTATGACCTAATTTGGCAAAAGGGCACATCGTCACGATTGCACAGCGAAATTAGCCTTAACAAGTCTCCGTCGAGATTTTGTAATGTCTCGGGAGAGAGAATCTTCCGAGCTAGCGAAACGTACGTAATCGTCCGTGTTCTATTCCTGATTCGCCCGGGACTCGTTGCAAAGGGCCTGAACTGGTGATGCAATATCCCACGATGTCGCTACACTTTACTGCAACTTACTTTTTAAGACGGCAACTCGCTCGGCGCCGAGCGAACTCCAAGGCCGGCGGGATCAACTCTTTATCCGCGATGTAACGAATCCCATTATTCCCGGTTTTCATCCCTTTCGGAAGAGTGAAACGCACGCAATCAGCGGGAATTGCGCGAGTCGCTTACTCGATTTGTGCGCGCGACACCTCGGACTAACAATCATTAGCTACATACTTCATCTCAACATTTGACTTTGCGTACTCATCGTCGAAGAAAAGAACAGGGGGAGAGAGAGAGAGAGAGAGAGAGAGAGAGAGAAAGAGAGAAAGAGAGAGAGAGAGAGAGAGAGAGAAAAGATTGAGACTTTACGCCGTTAATATTTTACGGTTACTACGTCGGCATTGATGTCGTACAGAGAGAAACTTCCGGTCGAGTCGTCGAAACCGGAGCGGCTGCACCGCTGCTCGCTGTTCACATTTACGCGAAATTGATAATATCGATCCCCCCTGGAGCGAAATGGGGTCGACGTCAAGCTTTTCAATGAATCGACCGTTACAGGGACACTTTCAGGCGCTGCTTGGAACCTGGGCTGAAGCTTGCTCGAAGCGGAATTTCTTTGATTATCAGACACAAAGTTGCATCCTTCGTTGCCTCTTCTAACCCAGCTGCTGCCATCGCATCCGCTGCTTCTTTCTCTCCCTCCCCCCTCCCTCTCTCTCTCTCTCTCTCTCTCTTTCTGCTGCTATTACCCGACGCGGATGATAATACGTACGGCGGATGGATGTGTGCGTGCTCGCGCGCGTGTATTCACAAGGAGTTTCGCCAGAGGCGAAACTTCCGGCGCGGCTTCAAAAGGGACCGAAGTGCCTCTGTATTTGCGGCTCAAACGCGAGTCTCCGAGCGACTTCTCCGCGGCGCGTTGCATCTTTCGACTTGCCCGTAACTTCCGCCTTCGTTTCGACCGCGCGCACGAGGCGTGTGTAACGTCATCCTGGTGCAAGTTCCGTCCGTTAGTGCGGACTTTACACCTCGTTATGGCGGATACGTGTGCGCGAGTTCCCCGTTCCGCGGCTTCAATTGCGCGGATTGCGTGACGCGCTAAAACAGCGCCGGAGAATAATGGCATCTCGTCTCGCGCTAGCGAAAAAGGGAAGTCGCTGTCCGCGAGGAAATCGTGGAACTCGAGCGCCGTTGAATGAGTCCGCTTTCTCGGGGCTTTCGGGATCTTTATCGCAATATCGTTTGAGCTTTTTATCGCGTCGCGGCGAGGCGCCGTCGGGAGGGACGAGCGATAATAGACAATGGAAATATCGACGAATGCGCCGCTGAATTTAGCGCGCACGATGATATTTTGCATGAGAATGCCGCGAGAAGTCGCAGAGGTCACAGGAAAGGGAATATAAATATAGATCGCAAATTAACGCCCACGTGTACTTCGTCGGGTGAAAAATATATGCGACAACTTTTTCCGAGCATATCTTGGATGCTTTCAGCACTATTTGGTTGCATTACATTCTGTCGAGAACACGATGCAAGTATTCGGCGCAGTAAGTATGTGTGGTGAGAATGTGAGAATATGCGGTGTTATAATTTCGATACGTTCAATTGTTAAAGTGTCGAATTATCGGATTTTCATGGACTGCAAATTAACTCCTACGTGTATTCCGTCGGGTGGGAAATATATGAGAAAATATTTTTCTATAAGCGTATCTTGAATACTTTTAGAATATTGAATAATGTTACGTCCTGTCGAGAACGCGTGCGCGGTGCGAGTATTTAGCACGATATGCGTATCGTGAGAGAGTGCAATGTTATAATTCTGATATTGAAAACGTTCGATTGTTAAAATGTCGAATTATCGGAATCCCATACGTCGAAGCCTTTGTTACTCATTCGGCTGGGACGTAACGCGTTGTTTATCGCCTAATTTAAAATTAGCGGCGTCGGATCAACGAGTAATGGGCGCGCATCGCTCAGAGTGGTAGAAAAAGTTGAAATTCGCTGTGCAATACTAATTGGCAAAGTTTCTCGGATCGTCAATAACGAAGTCTACTCCAATTTACCACTTGTTTTCGGGGAAATATATTTAACTCACGAATACAGGCTCTCCCGTTACGTATCGCGCACACAACCGTTCGTCGTTCGTATTACGGCGGAATCGCGCGCTAACGCTTGATAAACGCGACCAATTCGCCCCCTCTCACCCTCCGCGTTTCTGTTCGGAATTTCTTCGCCAGACACTCGGGACGATAATGTCTCGTCATTAAATGTAGCGATCCGACCATTTGAATGTAATATGGCTGAGTTAAGACGGCGGACCTACGCCGGGAAATTCGGGCTGTGTGAGATCCACAAGCTGCTGGGCAAGTTAGTCGACCGTAAATCCGGATGCAATCGTGGACTTGCCATCAGCAATCTTTGAAGGAACTCCCCCGAGTTTGGATGCGCGCGGTATGGCGTACGATACAATTCGCGCACATTGATTACACGTCTGTGTCTCGTGCTTTTGCGGTTTGCGTCTGTACTTATTCGACACAATCTATTTAATTAACAAAATATTCATCCGACAATCCACTTCCCTCCCATAGCAAAAATTAATTTATCTTGGCAGATCAAAATGCGAGTCTTTTTCTTTTTCTTCTTACTAACAGGTTACTCGTCAGGGATTTAAAAAATTCAGCTTGACACATTCACCACCATGACAACGTCACCGCACGCGACAAATATTAAAATAAATAACATGCAATTACTTACATTTGCAAGATTATAACTGTATCTAATAATAATGAATGAGCATAGCAGGCAAAGTGCACTAGCAAGTGGAGTAATATTTTTATTCCTTGAAATG